CCACCATGTGTTGTTTTTGCATGAATTTTCGGAGGATGGAGCTTCAGTGGGGTCCGATGGAAAAATGACAAAACACCTGGAATTGCGTTGGAGAAGCTGCCCCCTGGAGGAGACGAATGATGGATTGGGAGGCACTTCTCGAAGCCTTAGCTATTTTTTTGCCGGTAGCGATGATTCCCAACAGGGACTTGCAGTTCGGTCTCTGGCCGAAGCGGGGGGGCTGCATCGGCCGATGCCAAAACCTGAGGTGTATGGTGGAGGTGTAGAACTTAGACGAGCTTTTTCAGCCAACTCGAACCTGAACCTGTCGCAAAAGTAACAGTGTCAATTAGCCAGGGAAACAGATAACACAAAATAAAGACATGTTACATCTGTTGTAGATACAGTATGGATTTATAGTCACGTATGAAGCGATTCTAGCTTAATCAGCTGCAGAGAGCCAAAGTGTGACCGAGCCAGATGACTATAAACTTCTTTCCGTTTGTTGCCATGATCCAGACACATACAGTAGATTGAGAATCAGATTTGTGCAACCATGCAGGTGCCTCATGGTTCCATCAAAAGATTTGCAGCGAGGTGGAGCCGGAAGCAAGTTGGCTCATGTGGCTTTTCGTTTCGACGCTGCTTGAATGCGGCGTTGTTGGTTTTGTTGCCGCCTGTGGCTACACCACTGTGATTTTCATAGCTCAGCAGTGGTACACAGACAGTTAATCACCTATTCACTAATCCGATTATAAGTTAAGTTTCCCTATACATTTAGGAACCACATGATTAGTGCGAGCACGAGCTATCCTGCGTCCTAGGTAGTAGCTACTTAAGCTACTAACTACCTCTTCTCCTAGCTATACCTAGCTACTTCCTACCTCCACACGGCCTACCCCCCCCCGTGCAACAAAACTCAGGTATGGATTGAACTTGGCTTTTGAGTTTCATCAAGATGGTCCAAGCTACTTCATCCTCAAGCCAAAAGCAGAGGCAAACAGTTTCGGCATGCATTCCTTGCATTGCAAAGTCAACCTGATGTGCTTCCTGTTGGAGTTTTTGCAGGTTTCGGGGACTGAGCAAACAGGCCAAGGGGTCGACCAGGTCTGAGATCAACGTACCCTTGTGTCCAGCCTGAGTCTTGTATAGACGCCAAGAAGTCAGGCAGAAATTCAAGACTTGATAAAGATCAAGGCAGATATTTTGAAATCAAAGGCCATGACGTCCGTAGCTTATGAGGTGTGGAGGTGACTGTCAAAAGACAGGCATCTTCAACTAGATTTGTTTGACTGCCCGCATACGACGGGCGAGACGTATCATCACTGTACGTAGGTAAACGTAGTTATTGTAGAGCTACACTGCAGGGAAGATCCCAGCTCTTGGTTTTCGCTGGACAATACTGTGGAGTTCAGGGCAGGGTGGCATTTTGTCAGTAGCTTCATGTATAGGTGGGAAGAGAGCTCACTCTGGCTTTCTCTCTATTCAATTCGCATTCATGAGTCATGATCCTTTGTGTGTCTTTCAAAATGCCAACGCAGTTTAGAGCCTTGGGCTTCGTTCACTTTGTTCACCATGTTCAGTGCCACAGAATCCAAGAACCTTTGTGATTCATGCCTTTGTCATTTCTATGACTGCAATGATCCTGAATCCTTACCAGACCATGGCCTTCTACCACGGCACCTTCATGAACTCTCCGACGGGTGAAGGCACTGAGAACAGCAGATTGTGGATGTCGAGCTCTGCCAGGATTTCGTGGCCTTGCTGGCTGAACCCCTTGGGCACCACTACAGCAAAGCTGGAACGCCGGCTTCCCAAAACCCTTTGATCGATGGGATGTTTGGAAGATCGCACAAATTTCGCCAGGTCGCGGCTCATGGGCCTCTTTGGAACTAAGGCCGTGCATTCAGGTCCGGAATCTGGGTTGTAAAGACAAGATGGGTGTTCAGCTTTGAAACAAGCACTGACACCTTGTCGAACTTTGGCAGACTTTGTCACTCTTTCACATCTGCGTCACCTTGTCGAACTCCTGGCCTGTTTAAGGCATAAACTGTAAATATGACTACATGACCAACTACTAGATTTGTCGTGGATGCGGGCGCTCATACACCCTGGCCGACGGCAGGATGAGTTGGGGATTCAAATGGACGATGATGAGCTGAAAGCCATGCTCGAAAAGGCCAAGAACTCAAGAGCTCGAACTCAGAATTCGGAGCATGACAGTACGCTGTGTACTACTGAGAGTGCTGATGTTCTCAAAAAGCGATTTCAAGCTGATGCAGATGATGTCGCTTCTTCAACGTTGTTGCGGACTGAGCATTTTGCTGAGGCTGGAGCCGATGCAGATGATCGTTTGAACATGGACGCATTCTACAACGTCATGCGTGCTGATGCGGATGGATAGACAAAGGAAAATCAAAGCGTTGTTGCGGACCATCAGACTATCTGACTATCTCAACTTCGTCGTCCAAAGCGTTTGTTCCTCTAAAATAGAGCCTCCCACACTGGGGAGGCACAATCTTCTTCAATGTGTTTGGGCTTTGGTGCAAGAGAGACTTGGTGCGTTTGGAGCAGACGTTCCACCTCCATTTGCCTGACGTGTTCCCGGAATGTAGATGGGAGACGTGTAACTGCTGCAGCTTTAGGCTCGTTCTTACCCGGGTGATTGGATCCGCAACTCAACGAGCGATGGAAATGTGAATCGTCCATTCAGCGCTGCATATCCCCGGTGCCACGTTCAGTGGATTTTCATTTTGACTGCAAGTTCCGAGCTTGAGTCGGACCATCTCAAAGCAGACGAAGGAGTATAGGGCTTGGCCATTGCTTCAACCTCGTACATCCAACGACCTTTTTGCACAATGTATATATATATATATATATAGATAGAGACTCTAGCAAGATCATCAAAACTTATTTGGTTGTTCCGACATAATGTGCTTGGTCCCCTGAAGGATTTGGGTTGTGTGCTGCACTGGGACCTTTTGAAGTTCTGCAGCTCCAATGGAGCAGGGCCTTCGGGCACTCCGGCAGCTGTCGGCAGGTCTAAGCAATGAAGCTGCCGTGTTGAAAGCTGCATCTCTAGTCCCAGTTGAACCAGACGAGCCTCAGGCCGGCTTGGGAGTTTGGCATGATCGGAACAGTTTCATATCACCTATGAAATGGCCGCAAAGAAGTCTAAACACGGGGAATTCCAAGCCAGAGGTTGAGTGCAGCGATGACTCATGAGTGTTATGTGTGGAATGTGTAGAAGAAGCGGATAATGGTGGCCACATGCCACATACGCTTCCTCAGGAGCGGTGTGGAAAAAACATGCGGCAACTCTCAGACAGCGAGTCGGATGAGGAGCTGCAGGACGCTGGCGAGGCTCAAAAGCTCAGCGAACTCTATACTTGGGGCCGAGCTACAAATTATCAATTGGGATATGGTGTGAGCGGTAATGAGCAGCAAATTCCGAAGTTGGTGCAATTGCCAACTGGAGCACAAGTGATGTCAGAGACTCAGTTTCAGTTTGAATGCTGGAGCAAGGTCTTGAGCTGCGCCTGCAAAAAGGTTGTGGTGGTGATGTCTGCATGTGTGAGCAAAATCCACAGCACCTTTGCGAGTTCTTTCCTCATGAATCACAGTTTTGGGCTGTAAGGAGTACTGTAGCAGCCATTGAAACACCTTGGCTGCAAGACTCCTCAAACACCTCGTTGTAGGAACAATCACATGTACTGTACCAAGAAGCGAAGGAGTTTCCAGAAAAACACCCGAGCCCAAACGCCCGGTGACACACCTTTTGGCGCATTCTGCGCTCCTCAGGTCTTTGTCCTGTGGACGTTTTCACAGCACAGCCGTGACGGCCTGCGGCCGCGTCTTCACTTGGGGCTTCGCCGGTGCCAGTGGGCGCTTGGGAATTGAGTCATTCCGTGAGGCCGTGGTGGTGCCAACACCCCTGCCAGAATTTGGGCCAGGAAGACACCATGCTGTAAAGGTGGCCACTGGCATTCAACACACTTTGGCCATGACAGCTGCAGGGAAGATCTTGGTTTGGGGCTCCAACGAACGAGGTCAGCTTGGAATGCCTGGAGAAAGCTGCTTGAAGCCGGCAGTTTTGAAGGCCTGGACTTGCAAACTTGGGTGAGCCTTCCTTGTGCTACTCACAGAACTCTTGCCTCATTCACACAAGATCCCTTTCGATCAAAAGGGCAGAGATTGGCATTCTAAAGAGTGTTGCAACATCAGACACATCACATGATATGACTGTTGCTCTTTGGCCCTTTTGACGTCTGACAAGGCAGCCTCCTTACAAAAGCATCGTGTCAGTGATATTGCAGCTGGAGCTATGCACTCGCTGTGTACCTTGCCACACCCCTCACTGCTTGGGCCCTACCAGGGCTTGTAACAGGGGCTGGAAAACCAACAGAAAAAGACTATCCTGTCTACAACATGCAACAGACTCTTAACTCTTAAGGACATGTCCACCTGATGGTTTCTACCTAGTGAGTAGTCAGAAATGTCCGTGGAGACCCCCACGTTGTGGATGGGATGCTGCTTCCCCGAGCAGTGAAGGTATTGCTGGAGAATGCGGAAGCGTTTTTTGCCTGGGGCTGCAACTTGCAAGGTGCTTTGGGCCTTGGAGCAGCACCAACTGGTCCTTCTTCCACGAATCAGCCTCAATCTTTGCCTCACCTGAAATCTGCAACCTTGATCACAGCAAACCCGTGTGGACACGTAAGTCTTTGTTTGCTAATGTCCCATGGAGATGCGATGATGTTTGGATCGAGCTCACCGGGCGACAAGACGGACCAACGATTCTTTCTACCGTCGCGAGTACGGCGCAGGGAGCCCAATCCCACCGTCAGTGACGTTGACTGGCAGCTGCAACGAGGGAGTCACTTGAGCCCTTTGCGTTGGGCAACTCTCAGCGACTCTGAAGGCCGGTAAAAATAGTGGTTTTAGGATTTTGATGAAGGATTATTGGTTTTACACTTCCAGGGATTCTGGGATTGTTTTCAACCATCGGCCAGCCGAAATGTCTCATGGTCAGCTTTTCGAAGTTCGGCCCACTTGTTGAAGGCTTTGGAATCGACACAGATGGGCTCCTTTGGGTTTGGCCTACCTCTTCTCGGCCAGTGTCTGCAGAGCTCGTGTCGGTGTCCCTCAGACGAGAGGTGCGCTCCAGATTGGCGAGTGTGGAAGATCCAGGATTCATTTTGGTGGAAGATGGTGAAGAGATTGAAGTCTTGGTTCAAGAGGAGGCGTCACGGGAAGTCCTTGCAAGTGTCAATGAGGTACAGGAAGTGGGCATTTCAGATTTGGGTGTGTCGTTCAAAGCTGGCATCACTTGGGCCATTGACGATTCGGATGCTGGCCATCTCTGGCAATTGAAGCGAGCAAAGTCCAAAGGCTCTTGGCTCGCTGAACGCTTTGAGTACTTGGCCCAGGTGTCCTGTTTCGCTTGTGGCCCGGAGCACCAAGCGGCCGTGACCAGCTACACTGTTCCGACCAGCCACAGCGAAGAGAAAGGCCTTGCTGTGAGCGAGCTGGGCGATGCATCGGGTGCGGTCGTCCGGGACGGCGCCGTCTGCGCCGTCCGGTCGGTGCCATCCCTGCAGCAGGTGTGCGAAGAGAAGCTTTGTGCCAAGCTGAATCCTCGATCCTTTGGTCTGGTCTGTGACATTGCTTGGGAACTGAATCGGCCTGCACTGCTGGACCGTGCCTTTGGATTCTTGTGTGCAAACGCACCTCTGATGTTCTCCAAGCTACACCTGCCAACCTTGAGCCAACTTCCTATTGAGGTCTTAGCAGCCTTTGAGATGGCCGCCAAAGCCAAGCAAAAGTTGAAGGTGGCTAAGGTGACTGTCCCAAGCGAGACACCTATTGAAAAGGAGGTGAGGAGGGAATCTCTGCAGGAGGCTTGCCCTCAAGACTTTGGATTTGATATTGATTTGGAGGACCCGATCTTGAGAGAGCTCATCCACTTGTGCGAAAATGGCCAATGGTCCGTTGTGTCATCTGCAGCTTTGTCACTGTTGGCTACTTCTATGCTAGGTACTGCTGCAGGAGAGGGCCTCGTTGCCGAGAAGTTGGGCTTGTCATTTGCCTTGTCCGAAATCGAACGAGTGGAACTTGAAGCTGAGACAGAAAAGGAGGAGGCTCAGGCTCGCCCGAGACGCCGGGCATCTCAGACTTCTCCACAGGTTGCATCCAAGGCTTCGCCAGCCATGTCATCCAAGTCTTCTCCCAAATCTTCTGCGATGTCTCCACCTCTGCAGCACCAAAAAAAGCCCAGCTCTTGAGGCTCAAGGCTTTGATTGGGTGGAGGTGAAGAATGCCAAGCGCAAGAGCTCTGATTCAAAGCCGATGACTCCCAAAGTCAAAGCAGAATCCCCAACTGTGCCCCCAAGCCAGCCAAGTCCCAAAGGTGTTCGGCCCGTGGGACGTGAGGTGAAGGGACAGGGCAAGACCTCATTGATGTCGTTAGATGATGGGCCCTCGCGGCATCTCAGATTGGCCGACTTCATGCCTCGGAGCGGAAAAGGGAAGGAGGGAAAACGAGAGGCGAAGACGCCCGAAGCTGGCCCTTCAGCCATTCTGGTCTCGGCTGTGGAGTCAGCTGGAAAGGATGGGGCTTGGGCTTTGCCGAATGTGGAGCAAAGTCCACTGTCTGACATTTTGGAGGCTCATTCAAAGGAGAAGAGCAAAACCAGCAAAGCAAAGACTGGGTCGAAGCCGACGCCGAAGGTCATGACTTGCTCTTGGGGTCGGGATGCCTTGCCCTCCGAACAGACGAAGAATCAATCCATCTCGGAGATTCAGCAGGAAGAAGAGCTTCTCCGTGAGCACGATGAGATTCTGGAGATTGAGGCCAGGTTGTACCAAGAAACTGGTTCAAAAACATTTTGTTTTTGATGTATTTGTAGACTAGACAGCTACACTGCCTCCAAGGCCATGTTCGCAGCGCTGGAGGTTGCCGAGATCGAGGAAGCTCTTGAGCAGTCTCGTGTTGCCAATGGTGAGCCTAAAGTGAGTCAGCCACAGGTGAAAAGCCAGAAAAAAGCCGAGCCGCGATCCAAGAAACGAGCCGAAAGATCGACTTCAGGCCAACTTGGCCGATCTCAACATTCCAATCGCTCCGAGCGGGTTCTAGATTGGTGGGCACAGAGCGACTGGTCTGGTTGGAGCTGGGACTCTTGGGACTCAGGCAAAACAGCTCGCTGGCAAAAACGAGACCCAGGCCGCCCAGGCCCTGCACCTGACGAGGCCACGCAAAGAGACGAGTGAGCAAAGATGCGGACAGACTCACCTCTCCGAATTTTCCCGCGTGGCATGGAAAAAACGGTGAGGAAAGCCAGTTTGGATGTCAGTTTGCTTGAAAGAGCCATCGTGTTTAGAAAGAGAGGCATGTTATGGCCCTGCAGCTTTCCTAAACCTGAAAGACCTGAAGGTTGCTTGATTTCGCTTTCAAACACATACAAAAAGTTTTCAAACAAATATAAACCTTGCGACTTGCGACACAAGTTTTTGAAGTTCTGTGCCGCTGACCTCATGATTTCGACGATCTTTTGCTCCCAGCGATGATTTCAGTGCAGTCGCAGTCCCTTCTGCTGGTGCAGCAACGCTTTGCTGAAGTTAGTGGCAAGGTGCTTGGACTTCTACTGTCGAATTAATTTTACAGTGACGGCCTTCCCACACAAGTAAACGGCAGACACGCCATGCTTACTGTCGCATGCAGCCTTTCTTAAACATAATAATAATCCGTGCTTGAATAAGGCCTTGTGCAAGTACCAGATGAGGTTCTGGCAATGTTGCGGATCGTCGGTCACCAAAGCACAAGACAAGAATATACAGCATACCCAAACGGATCAGACACAAGCCGAATAAGCACCTAAATAAATCACCTTGCTCGGAGTGAACATACTCCTAAACATTCTTTTGCCCTGTGTTTTTAAGAAAGCACAAGCTGTCCGGAGCATTTTGGGCAGTTGCCCCTTATGCACTCTCGCAGGCGTATTTCAGAGAAGCCTTGCAAAATACCGAGGAGAGGTTTTGAGATGTGCTTGCAGTTCCGCAACTCCTGCTCTTCAGTGCTTGTTTAACTTTCTTGTCAAGTTCCTTGGAGCCTGTTTTAGTACAGGATTGTGCAGCTGAGCTCTTTGGAGATCGGGAGGCCTTTGTTCGAGACATGCTAATTGTTTGCCGTCCTCCAATCGCACAATTAGGGCGCTATTAGGTGGAGGCCATCACAAGTAGGTTGGAGGCCATCGCTACAGTAACAAGAAGCTACTAGGGGCTCCTGGCCTTACTAGGAGCAAGGACGCTACTAGGGGCTCCTGGCATCGCTACTAGTGACAAGAAGCTACCGTAATGTGGTTTTCCATGCTCCAGTTGTCCCTCCGAGAAGCGCTGAAGACTTCCGAGGAGCTGAAGCGATTGCGAGACGTCCCGCTCACAACTTGCATAGTCCAGGGTTTCTCAACAAATCATACTTCATTTGAGTTGTTTTTTGCTGGACAACTTCCTTTCGATCCACGCTTTTCCTGACTTTGCAGGACCGTGCAGCTCAACTGACTGCTGAGAACAGGGAGGCAAGGAATCCAGGAATCGATAGATCTGGCTCAATATGCTCCAGGGTGATGTGCAACTGTAGGTCTGGCGCACAACCACGCTATTCAATAATTCTAGATTCTAGCAGAAAAGCATTTGTTCTGGCTGAACATTGCAAAGTCTGTGGAGAGTCTTTGTTCTTTTGTCCTTGATGATCAATGTCCTGCAGTTTCTCTCGATGAGTAGAACTTGAGCAGCTGTAGGAGGAGATCCTTGCAACCACGGACAAACACAACAGACATGAACGAAACACCACATATTCTATTATATATCAGCTACGCAAAGGATTGAGAGTTCCTGGTCCAGTGAATACGATCAAAGAGACTTGTCCAGCTTTCCTTTTTTTGTGTCACCAACAATATGGACAAGGTATCAGCAAGGTCTCGCAGTTACATTGACAAACAAGAACCGAATCAACCAAAGTGCTGAGAGCTTTCGTGCGGCCAGCTGCAGCTGTGCCTGTGGATGTCATGGCAGCAGATGGCTACACTATGGGAAAGTTGCCTGTCTGACCATTTCGAGTGTGCTACGTGGCATCATGTGGCCCTTACCTTTCGCTCGGAATAGAGCGCTGAAATGACTTTTGGTTCCTTTTCCGCAACTCCCATATGTGTGTTTGAAGAGAGTACAGTGCGATGAAAGGATGTGGAATCCATCCTTGTACATTGGCTCCATTCTGGACAGCCATGAGCACCGGGTGGCAATACTGCCAAAGCGAATAAAGCACCTTGGTGGATAGTCACCATATAACGTTGTATCAGATCAGTGTCCCCCATCAACACCTTTACCAGATGTACTATCTTGATAGGATAGTCACTTTGGGTAGCCTAACATGTAGAACTTTCAGTTTTCTGTTTCTCTGCATCGTTGTAGGCTGAACCGACACGTATGGCTTAACAACAAGACCTTTTCAAATCCAAAGCCGAGTGCAAAAGAAGCATGACTGATGTAAGACCCCGTCCCAAGCTGTCTCAATCTTTGGGCCACCCGAATATTAGTCTTGCTCTTGACTTCAATAGAACCACACCTTTGGCGAGGGTATCCCTCACTTTTGGTTTCATATGCAATGGAGAGCATCTGACGTGTGTAGCTGAGGGACTCAATGCCATCTCCAGAACCGAAGCCAGGGGACTCTGGATGGCTCTATCGAGTGCTTGAGCCATACTACTCGCGGGAATGAGCCATGGCAGCAATGCATGCCTTTCACGAGCTGTGAGGAGTGCCGACTTCGTTTCAAGACGACTCTCGTCTGTCTAGGTGTGGACAATGTGATGTCGGCCATGCTGGAGGGGCAGATCTCATCTGGGGCTGCCTGGCCTCGGAAAATGGTCCAAGAGATTTGCAGCCTCTATCAGGCCGATCGAAAGTCTGTTGGAATGGAAAGATCGAAATGCTCGGCGGCCAGGTGCCTGTGGCGTTGCCCACCTCCTCAGGGGCCTCAGCCTTACATGTGGCCTTGTTGGCTTGCAACTTGGGACCACAGGACTGGGGGAAGTAAAAGGAGATTTGCAATTTTGAAGGATGATTGGTGGAGACAATCATGAAGTTGACATGGAGCAACCAAGAGGGAAAGTCATGTTGGTCTTGTTTCCTTGGCAAGTCAACATTAAACTCTACAGAAGTATGGAAGGGGAAGGCTTGGGGTGAGCCGGACCCACGCTGGCAGAAAGTGCACAAAAGAGTGCATGAATGGAAGGTACTACTTGAGTCTAAGAGCAGTGCTGACATGGGCCACAGTCGCACACATGTGTTGCAGGGTTTGTGGACCGCCGCAGCGCCGCAGGACACTGTACTGTTGCCTGCTCTCACGATGGTGGTTGGGAGCTCAGACGAAAGCAGGACCAGCATGAACTGACGCCTATCTCACCCTTTTGCTGTGAAACCCACAAGGAAAGACATGTACAGCAACTCTTCACTGAAACCCTTCGAAGCTAGCTTGGAGGCCATCGCTACTAGGGGCTCCTGGCCATTACGAACGTAACAAGAAGCTATATATACTAGTAACACGAAGCGCTCCTCTCAATCAATCCGAAGTTGTCCCAGGCTGTGGCGAATATGGTGAAGATGGTGGGTGCGAAGCCCATCTACTGTGACTGCGCTGAAGACTCGGTGAACCCGGGCGTCCCGGAGCTCCTGGAGAAGGCGACGCCACGCACCAAGGCCGTGATCGTTTGCCATACCTATGGACGCCTAGCTGCGCCTAGCTTCTTTCATGAGTGGAAATCCCCTCTTTTGCAGATGAGACTCTTTTGTTGAACCGCAATATCAGAGGGTTTCTTTGCCAAAATCTGAGGAGTAGCGTGCAAGGACATTGTGTCTATCAGAGATCTCTGCAAAGAGAAAGGCTGGTGGCTTGTTGAGGCCTTCCCGGACGCCCGGGAATGAAATCTGATTGTTCCCTTTGAGGGTGCAGCCCTACGTTTCGCACAGTTGGCCAATACTCGTTGATCTTGGACAGATTATTCTAAGCAATCTTGAGCACGCGGACGTGGGTTAATTTAAGAATCGCGAAGACAAAGCACAATACCAGGATCGGTAGAAGGAGAAAGTCTCAATTGATCTTTGTGCCTGTTGGAGGACATCTGCGAAGCTATGGGAACCCGAGCAGACAATGGAGAGCTGGTGGGAACTTTTGGAGACTTTGCGGTGACCTCGTCCCATGGATTGCACTTCTGGGTGAGACTTTGCGAAACGATGTGCATCAAGGAACTGCAACTGCAAAAGAGCTATTCCGTGAAGTGGATCTCCCAATGGCAAAAAGTGGACCCAACTGAAAATCTAGTTGCAGGGCACTGATTTTAAGATACAGGTTCAAATGGGGCACATGGTCTAGCTGTCCGTGTGGAGTTTCCGTCTTCCTTCTCTCCAGCTGCGGTTTTTTTGAACAAAGAATGGATGCGGCAGGCCCCGCACTCAAACAGACATGCGAGCCGCAGTAATCCAGCTGGAACTTTTTGGACAACCTGAGAAAGAATGAACAGGATACCCACGGGTGCTGATGAATTTAGAAATCCTGTAGCCATCCGAGGCTCTATGCTAATAAACCCATCACTGCCGGAGATGGAGGTTGGGTCCATGCCAGGGACAAGAAGCACCATGACCGGCTGAAGTCCCTTGTTAACCATGGCTTCGAGACATGGCAGCAAGCAGCCCATTCTTATTCCAAGATGTCTTCAGTCGTTCCAAAATTATGAACAGCTCCGACTCAACCAAGCTTTTTTGCAGTTCCATAAAAAACCAAGCAGTTTTTCTACATGTGCTTTTGCGCAAGCTCTGAAAATGACGCAAGAAAAAGTGAACAGCCAAGGATCCAGCTTATCATTTTCTCCACTTTGAGGTTGCCCCAAATGCCAAAATGAATGGGCTTGGTGCGGCCTTTGTGTGTTCACAGGCGCTGACGTAGTCGACGTAGTCGAAGGATGGATGTTGGTTCAAAGACCCAGCTGTTGGAGCTCTTGCTTTCCTTAAGCCCGCAGCATCAAGGCTAGCTTCGCAGCTTCTGGTGATGGAAGTCAGACTGCCTCACCTGTAGGTGAAGACTCTCCCTGAAGTGATGCAGTACAGGGGCAAAATCGCTAGCTGGTACCGACAAGAACTGGCTGATGTTGCTTCAAGCTTGCGCTGCATCGAACAGAGGTGCGTGGCTTTGTGGTGTTGAATCCTGAGTGTTTCGATATGTTTTGACTCAGAGAGAGAGAGAGAGATTTGACAATACAATAAAGCACTGACATGTTGCTTTTGTGTTGGAAATGCAACACAACTGATATGGTCGCTGGTTTGGTTTTCAGCCAACTCTAGCTCTTTGGGCGTCAGCTGGTCGCAGGCAGATTGATGCACCTTGGGTCTTCGGCGTTGAGACGACGAACCGAAAAGCAAGGGATGAACTGCGAGATCATCTCGCTCTCTATGGCATCGAGACGAGGAGACTTCGCGGACGAAAAACGCGTTCGATTTGACCCCCTGAAGCTAATGATTTGAAGCTGACGGGAAAGACCGCATCCGACACGATGAGAGAAAACGATGATGAGGCATGAAACGTTCGAAATGGCTTTTCATGAATGCAATGGGGTGTGCAATTATGCCTTTTCTTAAACTTGCTTTTTGGCTTTACTTGCTGCCATCATTCTTGCGCAAAGAGCAGCCGGCTCATTCCGAGAAATGCATTCTGAGTTCGTTCCGGCAAAGCCAACTTCATGGCGTTACTTAGGTTGGCCTCATCCAGTTGCATGTGTGTCTATACGTGCATGATGCCAATGACACCTCAATTGTGACAATGCTCGTGAATTTTGGAATAGAACTGCTGGCTGCCATTTCTGCCAACTTCAACATCCATATTGGAAAAAACCGAGGAATTACTTCTATCCTCTTCACTTGGAGCCAGCGAACTTCTATGGCGATGAGGTCGGCGTCTATGATATTCCTTTGCCGCGCTCCGAGCATTTGGCCCAGGCCTGGCCGCGCTGAGGTGAGGTGAACACCACACGTACGCCCAAACGAAGCAAGAAGACCAAAGAAGGTGCTCCGTTTGTAGCGAACATTGCTCCTAGTAGTACGGCCAGGAGCCCCTAGTAGCGTTCTTGCTCCTAGTAGCGATGCCCTTTGCTCCTAGTAGCTTCCTTGTTCCAGCTTCACCACCCCAACCCGAACGATGTGCTGACACCCTTCGTCTTGCTACGGTCTTGCTTCAGATCTTTCAGTACTTTATCTGGCACGTTGCAATGCATCAAGCCTTGTGATTACTGGGTTAACCCAGTCCTGCCCCAGACTGGCTTCTACTTGCCCACCCACTCGTTTTTGCAAGCAGATGACATCAAGTACATTTGCATCATGGCAGAATCCGCGAGAATTTGTTTCTTGTGAATTGTGAATCCGAAACATGGGCGCCTTGCGGGTCAAGAGTTGATGTTGGGAAAGATTTACAACTGCACTTTTTTGTTTGAGTTGTGGTGGCACAGGTTATGCCAGTCTCCTGCAAAGGTACTGTGATTCGCGCTTTCTACAAACCTGATGCCGCCATACCAGCACCTTCACGGAAGCATGGTTGGGTGGATGCTGAGCGATCCAAGCTCTTGAATTGTCAGCCATAAAGTCTCACTGCAAAAGCCAGTTTGAGATTTGCAAAAAGGTGTTCATCCTTCAACCATGCGTATGATGATGCGACAATAGTGGCGAAGCTTTTCCAATTGCTAGGCAGCATCCTTGTTTACCACGCTCTCAGAGTGCTGTGACAAGCAGGCCCTCGCTATGTTTTGCTTTGGAGACTCTGACTTTTGCCCTTTGCAACCACAGGTGAGCCGTTGGCGGATCAAGGGCAGAGCTCCGTCCGAATGCCGCTTCCGCGAGAGGCCAAGCGCAACGATGATTTGCAAGAGCAACTTCGAAGCTCTCGGGTGCGGGAGCCGAAGACGTGTGTTCGCGAAGTAGCCCAAATGGCAAAGGACAAGTCCTCACGTCTTCAATGAAACACGAATGAGAGGAAGGATCGTGCGTGGGAAGACGCAGGAATCTTAACCGATTCAGTGAATCCAGGTGGAGGCGCAGGAGCTTCGGGAAGAGATGCTCAAGATGCGAGAGGAGTTGCACCATGCCGAAGCCCGACGTTTGAAGGTGCCCATGGGGAAATCTTGTGACTCATCAGTTGAGCTGATCAGTTCGCTTTGATCCCTCAACAGATCCTTTTTGCAGCTTCCTGGTTCACCAGTTTCTCGCGAACTTCCAGGAGCTTCCAAAGCTGAAGAGTGAGCTCAAGCAAAGGCTCGCCAGCCAGGCCAATGGCGGGGCACTTCAGGTTGCCGAAGCGTCGGACGCGTAAGGTGAAGCTTTTCAGATGTGCCTGCATCAGTTGTTGTTTTGGGAGAACCAACAGCAGCTTGAACAGCAAGCTTGGTTTTTTTTGGGGCTTCGTTTGATCTTCCGAATGCCATGAAGACAAGCAGATAAGGCGTGCGTGAGGGACAGACGGACCTGCCTTCAGATTGGACGGATTGGATCTCGAGTTTGCAGGCGGAATACCATCTCCAGGAGGTGGAAGAAGAGGTCCCATGGCTTGCGCTTGCGAAGAGAGACCGTGTCTTTTTATGGTGTCCGTCATGGCTTCTCAGTGTGCACTGGTGCATAAGCAATGCTGAGTGATACAACAAATACACCATAGCGCAAAAGCTTTTGCTTGGAGGAGCACTTATCACATGAGAGCTATGCTAAATGGACTTCTGTTGCCAATGATGGGCTATGATTTATTATACAATTATAAGGCGTATAAGTCTTGTGGTCATGAATTGGCTCAAGTTCAAGCTCCTTCCATGTGAAGAGCAGGATATGCAGGCCCCTTAGATTTGTCAGCCAAGCCAGGGCCCCTGCTTGAGGCACGGAGACGGGTGGCCGCAGCGGAGCGGCACTTTCATGAGCAGGCCAACGGGCTTGGAGTGGGCTAACGGTGGTCAGGGTGGCGTGTTGGTTTTCGAGACCTCCGATGTCAGTGTCAGGGCCAACTCTGTCAGGTGAGGGAGCTGGAAGCCCAGTTGGATCAGGCTGGATGGTGTGAGCTTTTGAGTGTTTGGACGGCCGCAGCACACTGTTTCTATAGGCAGGAAGACTTCTGGAGCGCTGGGGTTTCTGGAAATCCGGATCACTTCAGATCTGTCCAGAGCAGGCACGGGAGACGAACGCGCAATTGGGACGGAAGTGCTTCGCCAGCTACCAGGCGGCTTCCGGACAGGGTAGCATGCAGCGGCGTCATTCCATGATCGTGGGAGATGGTCGACTTTCCCATGCACTTTCCCAACAACGAAAACCCCATTCTCCATTCTGTGTTTACTGAAAGAACGAACGCGGGGATCCTGACAGGTCATTGGTCGGAGTTTTTGCGAAAGAGAAGATGACTTCTTCCAAGCATAGGGCCACACACGACGAGCGTGCTGTCTGCACACTCAGGCGACGGCCCAAGCTGAAGGGACTTCTCGCCAGTCACAGTTCCAGTCGCATCAGCTGCAACAGGCCGTGTGGATTCGAACGGGGCGTGGCCAAAACCTTGGCAGAAACCCTGGTTTGATGATGTTTGATGTGTATCCATGTGTCTTAATGTTCTCCTTGGTCACACTGGCTGAGGGGTCAGATTTGTAATCTGAGCATATCTGAGCCATTTCCAAAATTCCATGCCTTCTTTTGCACCAGTCGAGATTCAGGACCTGCAGATGCTACATGGACAATGCTTCCGACTTCAACAGGACCTCAATGACCTTTCAGCGATATATAGTACAGCATGAATTGTCGTGTCAGTCAAAGAGACTATATAGTCATTTAATGGTTTCTTGGATTGAACCGAACCTCATTTGTTTGCTAATGTTTGGTATTCAACACCCCCCCTTGCTGGGATTGTTCTTTATCTTTTCTCGCCGTTGCCGTTTGGCTTCCAGCCATCCTGGGCAAAACAGGGAGAAAGAGGATGAGCGTACAGGCAGGGTGTTATGAGCCGACGGCCGACGAGATTTGAAGCAAACGTATCCAGAAGTTCTAGACTTCGGGAACCAGGCATCTCACGTTTGTGACTATCTCTTTGGATCCATCAGGCAGCACCATTAGAGTCTTGAAAGCCCTTGTGGGCTGGGTTGGATGAACGGGGTTTGCCTCCTTTTGCCCATTGGGCAGGCTGGATCTGGGGGAATTCCATTAGACAGCAACGTCAATGATACGTCCGGAACCCAAGCCCAATGGCCATGCGATGCTCAAGCCACGTTGGCTGTTCATGTTTGCGAATTCAGGTCGGTGATCCACATACAGTCCAGTGCGCATGAGTGCAACTCATACAAAAGCATAATGTTTGCTGTTCAAACACATTTTCAAACACATTGGCTCCAACAGTTGCCTTGCTAAGCCGGCCAGATCCGGCCAAGATATCATGAGATCGCGGTGTTCAACACCTTAACCGAACTAAACATTCTTGACATGAGTTAGGACCATAGAGCATGAGATACTTATATAATTGCATGTCTCTCTCAGCACCTGATGAGAAATCAATGTCTTTGGGTTGCGGACCGTTGCGGAGCGAAGATAGTCGCAAGGCTGAAACTTAGAGACCGAGCCTCCAACGTTTGCAAGCAGGATGACATGTACAAGCTTCATCAGCCATCAGCTCTTTTTTCAGAAACACAATCAGAACCACTGCCACTACATGTGCAGACTGAGGACACCAAACAATCCTTGTCCTTCTTCTTTAACCAGTTGCTGAAGCGCTGGCTCTCTATTATTACCAGCAAGTTATCACTGAGGCTAAGTGCTCTCACAAAGCCAGATGCCCATCATGACGCAATCCTGGTGGGTCTTAGGCCTGTGCCTGCTCGCGTGACATAGCCGGAACACTCTTTCTTGGAACTGGGATGAGCACAGAGGAGATGACTGGTTTCTTTGTTTTCACTTTCAATCTGAATGTGAGTGAGAGCATTTCTGGAGCAAGACACTTCTTCTCACTGGGGTCACTGCACTCCTGCAATCATTCCTCGTTTGAGAACACAGCCAGTCCGCGACCCCTTTCTTATATCAATCCCGGAGTGGGAAAGAACGCCCACGGCAAGGGGATTCCTAGTGGACCAAGCGAAGGCCACGTCAAGGGTCTGCACAAAAACTCTGATTGTAGGTCTTTGAGCAGTTTAACTCTGAAAAAGGAGGGCTCGGTTTCATCTCTTTGTTTCTTTCCAAACGGAGCGGTCTGGCCTCTCTTTCAGGTTGGTGAGCTCCAAAGCTGAGCTGTTGGGGAACCACCAGGGCCTGGCAGAGGTCGTGTCACGACATCTGGCCAGTGGCCACCCAGAGGTGGGGGGCAGAGGGAGCGTTCTGGCACGAAGCTTTTCGACGCTTTAGAATTAGAACCAGGAAATGCAGTTGGATGCCAATTCCATGTGATTTCTGGGAGGTTGTGTCCGCAGCAGCGAGGTCGTTAGGCAGCCTAGGCCGGAGATGCCATTCCTGTGGACTTGTGGCATGTTTGCACCACCAGGATGTTTCTTTACCAGACTCTTTAAGACGCGATGGCCTCCAACCTAATAGCGAGGGCCTCCAACCTAATAGCAAGGGCCTCCAACCTAATAATTAGTAATAGCGATTGACTGCCAAGACTGCTGATGTCTTTTCATGAACTTCCGCTTCCAACGCGAAACCGAACGAAACCACGAGTTTGTTTTATTTTTTGAACGTCCTCCAGGGGAGGCGGGAGCCCGCTATGCAGACCACGTTGCAGCGGTGATCCGTTGGCCAAATCCCAGCGTACGGCTGGCTGCAGTAGAGGCCACTGGGCCACCAGTGAGTGATTTGAGAAAGTCTTCCTTCACATGCACACACCTGATTTCTAACGATAGTCGTTGTTCTGCAGCAGTTCTGCATGTGAGCATTTCATCTGGAAGCAACAGAGCAAAGCGGTTCACAGAATTGGGCCGTTTCCACAACCGTCGATTGAGAACAAAGTAAGGTATGGCTGCTGTGAAGCAGCCGTTGGTCTGGGGACGGCTTCAAGAGCTCACGCAAAACCTGAGCTTTTTGCACGACCAGTTTCTTTTCACATCGGTTTGGTCGGGTTTTCACGACTTGAGCATGCACGTGGCGACGGGGTCGCATGTGTCTGGGAGGCCCTTGGCCGATTTGGTCGTGCGGCTGCAAGGCGTTGGGGATTGGTCGCAACATGCCCACTAAGAATGGTGGCGGCATGGGCTTTTGGAGAGGTGCTTTGTATTGCTGTCTATGTACATAAAAGCATCTCAACAACACAGGCATCATGTTTCAATACTCCTTTTCAAGAATCGCACGGGGATGACCACTTGGTTACAAACATGTTGGAATAGCCAGCAAAAGGCGCTGGAAGGCCACTTTTGCTTCTTATTGCAGCCATCATGGCCCAAGACCGTCTTGGGCTGAGCAGAAGGTGCTCAGAGGTCACTTGGACTACTAGGCGGAGCGAAGCACAGGTGGAGCAGCGCTTCTGGTTCATGAGCTGACTAGTTGCTTTCGTTGACCCCTCCTGAGGCTGATTGAAGAGGAGAGATGTTTGATTTCGGCAATCTCGATGACATTGAGGAGAATGCCGAAGCCTCACCCGAACATGCTGCTAGAGTTGTTCAGATGCCCTGAAAGCTGAGTGCTTCATGACGAAGCTGTTAAAAGGTGTTGAAGACTTCTTATAAGTTGCAACTGGCGCGTGGCCAGACTTTCAGATTGTCGTGTTGAATAGATGCAGTTTCGATCCCGCTGCACAGTCATGACCTGTGAGAGGTCATAGCAATCAACCTGTAGGTTGGCTTTAACAATCCTGAGGCCGCAACCCCTGAATGGATGAGTCTTGGCGTTGATCGAAGCGAGAGTGAATGAGTGTACTCCACATACTGGTTGCATGGACTTCTTTGAGGGCATCCTACTCCATCCCTTGTGCTGTGGCTGATTAGTGTGGGCTCATGTGCCACACCCAGGAAGTGGCAAGGCGTTCCGCAATGGCAGCGGGCACCAATGGAGTGCGAAGCCATCCTGGAAGATCGGGAGGAAACCTTCGCGGCACCTGAGATGCCGCAGGCGCCGGGGTTCAGATGTTTGGAGACTTTTTGTTATTTTTCTTGTTTTTTTTCTTCATATTTTGTCTTCTTTTGTCTTTGGGTATTCTTCAACGTCCCCTTTTTGAATGAAGACTTATATATATATATGATTCTTCGATGAGTCATGTAGTTCATGCTGCAAGGAAGATAGAACTCCTTTGTTGATGGTCAGGAAGTTCGATCAGTTCATGTCCAAGCACGATTGAACTTAAACTTTCGTTTGTGTTCAGGGATCATTTGTACAAGACCTCGTGCACCTTGACAGAAAGTGTGGCCATCCTCGTGTGAGTTACCAGTACTATGCCAAACAACAAGCGTTTTTTTCACTGGGACACTTGTGGCATGATGCCAGGAAGAATTCACCTTCCTGGCCATTGAAGTTCCAAGTTTGCCACCCACTGCATTCGATCCGCTGGCGCTGGTGGATGAGACTGCGGATGCTGTGGAGGAGAGCCTGGCAGCGTTGAATGGGCAGGCGCGACCGAACATGGCCTTGTGATTTTGATGCTGGCTGCTTTCCTGGCTTTGTTGTCGTTTACACAGTAGCGTACGTACGCAGGCATTTATTGTTATTGAAATCTTAGTTGATTTCATGAAATCCTGCGCAGGTGATTGTAAACTTTGCGACCAGTGCGGTTGAGGAGTTCATGATTACAAAGCGTCAACGGGAAGAGTACAAGGCAGTTGTCCGTCCGCCACTTCATGCGATAGAGTTGTGTTGTTCGAGGAAACGACGTTGATGTGGACAGACCAGGGTCCATTGCGCTTTCTTTTCTTCTTGGGCAGCAAGTCCTTAATTATGTGCCCCCCCTCAGCGTCTATGTCACATCATCCAGTTATTTGCTCAGTCTTGAGTCTTGATGAGACTCAGATCAAAGTTGAGTGGTCTTTAAACTTCAACAGCAAGAAGAAGAAGCCTCTGTATAGTAAGCGCCTCGGCCAGACCCAGTCTCTATAGTTGGCCTAGTAAACAGTGGAGAGAAGCTGTCAATATTTTTGGGCAGGCGTACATTGACCATCTACACCAACAACGTTTGCAGTATTTGGACGCGAAGAAGTCGGACAAGATGACTAAGCTCGGCCTTGAGGGCACAGGAAAAGATAAGACCACTGCCCCGTGAGGGGCTCAGCACCAAAAACATCTCTTTTTCTATTCCCTTCTGGTTTGCAATTCTTTTTTCTCGTTCCCTTGTTTGACCTTGGACAAGATAACGGAGAAGAGGGGGTGGAAGCACAGCTGGCCAAGGGTCCTTGACCGAAAGCCTTTTGCCTGGCGAGAGCTCAAGAGTGTGCTTTCTTCGAACACTGTGCAGATGCCAAAGGACAGAGAGAGAAAGAGAGACGGGGATCGAAGAGGATTGGGGGATTCGGGATTAGGTCTAGTTGTGGGTCCTACACTAGTAGCCGCGTCAAACTGGCAACAGCTTCTCAACCAAGGAGGAGAAGGGTACGACACAATCGTCTTGACCGTGCTCGAATAAGAGTTGAACTGCTCATCTATACAATAGTAGCCAAATGTGGGTACTGGACATGTCCTGACACTCGGCGTTCGATCAGTCAGGGTCGTCCTTTGGGGCCACTATCGTGACCTTAAGAACGATGACAGACAAGGACTTGACAAGTGCGGCAGTGGCTGCCAAGGGCAGCCAAGCGGTTGCCTTGCATGTTTTCACCATCCAAAGGACCAAGAAAAAGTCCTCCGATGTGCAGGTAAGACTATTCGGGCAAGACCCAAACAGTATTGGTGGAGCTGGTGGTGCCAACACAAACTGGATCAAGTGCCCCAGTCTTCTCTGTGCACCTAATGACTCGCAGAACCTCATGTCATGAGCGCTGTTTCTCCCAGGAATTGTTTCCCCAAAGCCCTCGCCGCGCGTTCGTCGCCCTCTGTCAACTCTAACGATCAAGTCATGCACTAGCTTCTTGTTACTACTAGTAAGGCACTTGTTACTAGAAGCGATGCACTTGTTTCTACTAGCTTCTTGTTACTATCAAGTGTTCGGACTTGGCAGGATTCTTGGATGTCCGAAGCTGTTCTGACGTCTTCGCGGAAGATCACCAAGTCTCTGGTTCCTGTGGCCACAGGCATCGAGCCCCAAAGAGGTTTGCCCAGCCTTGGATATGATTTGGTGTTTAAACTGGAATCCTCTTGAAGGGGACTTTGGCATGTGCAGTATTACTACAGTATGTTTCTACAGCTGTCGAAGACTGTGGAGCTGATGCTGCGACCCATTCGCTGGTCTTGATGTCAGATCTCATACTGTAACTGTAAGTGATTGGACAACAAAACAAACTCACCAAACCAGTTGCAAAGGGCCTGAAAGTTGAGCAACCAGACAGATTGCAGTAAGGCGTGGCGGTTTTCCTCCTCCTTGGCCAGTGTGGCCCAAGAAATCCTTTCTTAAGTTGAGAAATTCATCTCTTGAGACAAGTTTCATTCATCTCTTGCAGGTGCCATGCTCCCACCATCTGTGCTGGTGCACATGCTTGTGAGCCTGGGCTCGCAAGTGCGACCCGATCCCGCAGGCCGCTGGGGGCGCAATGCGGTGTGACCTGGCCTGAAAGATGCAAGTGGTTCGGTTTGTGCGGCCTCACTCCCGCTTCCAGCATTCTTTCTGAATGGATCTTTGGGGTGAACCACCGCAGATCCTGGATTGTTTTGATGGTACTTGCAGCTTGGTGCTTCTTGCGAAGAGACTATTATGTCTTCGGTGTGTGTTTGATTTGTGTTGCTTTCTGAAGAGAAAAGAGAGCTTGAAGCTACCTAGAGTTATGCAATCAAGATGAACTGGAAGAGTGCTTCAATGTGCTTCTATTCCGATTTGAGGCGACATCTAGCAATCACAGATGTCTTCTTTCCAACTGGAATGGTCTTGAGCGAATCATCCGACATCATTAACCAGAAGAAGGAGGCACCGACGTTGGTGCATTTGGTCGCTATGTCTGTGAACAAGGAGAATGGAGATTTGGAAGGCCGCATGGTTGGGGGTATGAGCAACAGTTGAATTATATGGGCATTGAACAATTTCCAATGTTTATATACTAATCCAAGTCATATCAAATCTACCATATCAAGAGAGAATTGGCTTGGATCTACTGTTGTGCCCAAGCGTCCCGACGAAGGTTGCATGTACAGTCCCGTCAGCAGCTTTTGCTGAGGCAAGCACTTGCTTGAAAACATCAAGCTTCCATCACCGTCGAGTTACCCATCAATCAAGCCGCGATATGCCATCAAGAGATAGGGATGAGACTCGAGGTCATCTTATCGGACTGATCCTGCAAGCAGTTTGTTGCCTTCCCGTATGTACAGGTATTGCTCTTCCGTTCCTCCGGAATGTGTTCCTTGTGGTATTCTTCTTGTTGAATACAACACTGTGATGCAAGCTGTGAGGATCTTGGGGTGGAGGGATGGCAAGACACAACAAAATCTTCCAATTTCTAACCAATGGTGAGCTTTCAATGGATAAATAATTGACACTTGAACGTTTGTATGCTGTACGAGCCAGTCTGTCTTTGCACGTCAACATCGCGTGATATTTGACGACATCTACTGCGGGAGAAAAGGTTGATCCCAAGTTGGCGATCGACAGCTGCCCTGGGGCTGGATCTGCACCATCTACTTGCATTGACGTCCCTTCTCATCTGGGGAATTGGCAGAGTCCAATGATTGCAAGATGCAAACATGGATTTGGCCCTTCCCCCTTCTGACTCCTTCCCCTTCTAAGCTGGCGCCTTCCTTTCTAACGCAAGGCATGCTGGGAAGCTGGTGAAGGTGGCTTCTGATCCAAAGCTCCAGGCTCCGACAGACCGACGGAAGCTTAGAATCCTCAGGGTCAGACGACGTGAGTTGACTCATACGTAGCGGTTCAGCCATGTTCGGCCCCTGGATATCCTTGGCCCTGTGGCCTTCTCACTTCGGTGAGGGCGAACGTTAGTCTTGATGAAAATGAGTGTGAACAGCTTTGCAGCTAGTAACATTCGTTTCTTTGCAAGGAAATAGTTAATAATTAGTGGTTCCACGATTTGAAAGGAGCCAAAGGGAAGAATCTTGCAGACTGTTGGGTAAGTCTATGTGGACACACAAACACACACATGCGTTTGGAATCCTTGTATTTGTCTCATGGGCATTTGGATGGCCAAAGACCTTGGCAGGATGATGAGCTCAAGGTGGCAGCGGTTGCTGCACTGGGCCAGGCGTGGTGTCCTGGGCCAGGCGTCGTATGTTCCGCCGTGTCGTTTTTTTTTGGGTTCCAGAAAATCCGACTCCAAAGCTCCGTCGAGCAGCGGCCGTCGTTCCCCTTCGTCGACCAGCTAGAGTCGTAGGTTCGGACGCTGAGAATTGTTTGGCCTCCACCCTAGTAGCGATGGCCTCCAACCTACTAGCTAGCGATAGCCTCCAACCTACTAGTATTAGTAGAAGAGTTGCATTCTTTGGTGGAGTGCTGCGTTGCATGGGATGAGCCGATTTTGACCGATCCAGATCCATAGCAGGTGGGTGGTGACCTTACTCAAGTGCCCTCAGTGGCCTCGCTGCTCTCGGACAAGTCACCACATGTCCAAGGACTCTTGGCCGAAGTAGAAACCTATACACTAGTTAGATTTAGCAAGTGGAAAACCAAGGGCCAAAGGTACAGTTATATACTCAGCTCAGATGCTAGTCCTGCAACAGTCGATATGTGAGTGCAATAATGATAAAGGACAGAACCAACATCAAACCACATTCAACTTCACTGGTCAGCACTTGGCAGCGAAACACACTTTCCGCTGAGGTGCAGCGTGCTTGACGCTTACCAGCCTGCCTGCTGCAGTAGGGTTGGTCGTTTCTGTCGGTAGGGGGTGAGATCGGGAGCAGTCTGGCAACAACTCCTGTTGACCTTTGCAAGGTTTGAACCAGGTTCTTGCTCAAGGGAACAAGCACCTTCTGAGGCCCCCTGCGCCAACTTATCGATATTAGGGAGGTTGAAGAAGCTGAGAGCCTGGCTTGGTATCCAGGGATCTACGTTGAATTTCCAATTCCACCAATGAACGCTGAGGCTTGGGCCCCTTCGCTGAGGAGCACACGCAAAGCATTGCTGCCAAGCTTGAGCAGGAGAGAGTCGCGTCGCCGAAGTCCACCAGCGGCGTTGACCACGGAACATGAACCGAATAGCAGGGATTAAGGGGTCCCGGTTTTGACCCAGAGCCATATGTATCAGTGTATCGGTATGTATCATATTCCTGGGAATAGCTGCAACCCTTAGGAACGTTGGATGTCGCACGCCACGGAGCAGGATGAAACCCGTTTGGCTGCAGCAGCTGCTTTGGCGAAGCTCCCTCCCGGGTCCGCCAAGCCTTTTGTGAAAGACATCGTCTCCAAGGTGCCGACCTGAAGAGGAACGGAAGGAACAGGAGGACGCTACTAGTAGCTAATGGCATTACTACTAGTAGCAAGAAGCTACTAGTAGCTAAGGACGCTACTAGTAGTAATGCTAGTAGCTTTTGTGGTGGATCGTGGTGGAACCATTGAAGCCCAAGAAACCATTGCAGCCTTTGTGCTGTACACAGGCGCTGGGCGATGGTGACCCACAAGTTCGGGAGGCGGCCGTGGAGGTTCTTTCCAAGGCAGATGCCGAGGTCTTCGAGGAGTGTCAAGGCAGGGACATGCCCAGGTCTGTGAGCTAAGTGGGTTTGTTTTGACCAAAATGCCACTTGGAACCTAGCTGCTAGCTAGGAGAAACGATAGACAGATAGGCTACCTAACTTTCTGGTTGTCCATTTTTTCAAGCACGTCCATGTACAAAATGATCTGCAATCACTACGATCGGGTTAGGGCAAGTTGATTGTCGTTCTGCCGAGGTGGTTCAATTCAAGCAGATTGGGTTCTCCCCCCCTACACACAGACATCATCAACCCTTAGTTCAGATGTTTGGAAATCCTCACGACGGTTTGAATTGAGGGTGCTCAGCGTGTTGTTTGCATGGGCATCAGGTTGAATCAGAAAACATCTCCATTTGAGATGAAGTTGCTTCAAGAGATCTTCCAGTGACCTCGGCAGGACCTTTGACCGAACTGCTGAAGCACAAGCACCCTGGAGTGCTGATCTCAGGTGAAGGCCTGGATTTCTGAAGAAGGCACTGCTTACTTTCAGCATGAACACATGATTCGTGGTGAAAAAGAGGGCCTTGCTAGGGGTGGCTCTCCGTGGTTGACTTGGTGTTAGGTCCAAACCTAGGCCTTGGACACTTGTTCTGGGCCAAAATCACCCCAGGCCCAGGCCTCATGCCGAGGTTCGTGCCTGTGCGGCGCTTTGCTTCGCACACTTCGGGGCGAAGGCGCTCCCGGCGGCGGGGGAGATCGCCCAGCTCCTGACGGATGCCGAAGAGGAGCGGGGAGCGGACACCTTTGGTTGGAAGGGCACTAGTTCCACGGGTCTACAAAGAAGATGACACTATTAGAACATATTTGAGCTTGAGTCAGGTGTGAGAGAAGCTTATAAGATATAGGCTAGGTGTAATAGGTTCATTGTGTGAGATGAGTCGTCCCAAGTTGGATTTATGTTCAATACTTTTGGAGTTTTTGACGCAAAGGGGTTTTGATCCAGTTATAAGTTACAAGGCTTTTTGCACTGAAGGGAAGCACTCATGAAGTGGCATAAAATGTTGTACCCGCGAGCCTGAAAGACAGGACTTGTCTTGGCTCCCGCTACACTTAGGCCGTGGCCTGAATTCACACACAATCATGCTCCACCAAGGGTTCTGGAAGTTGAATGTCGCATTGATGGGAGTTCCTTCCACTCCACCCCCTGAGCACAAGGCGTGAAAGGTTCTTTGTAGAATCCCTTCAATTGAGGGTGTTCACCCGAGCGGATTTGGCTGAGAGTGGTGGCCCAAAAGTGCTCTAGCCATGGCCCTCCGTAGATTTTGCAGATGGGCCATGGATACCATATGTAGTTCAACTGTAGTTCAGTGCCATACAACATTCTAGAGAGAGGAACCCATAGCAAATGACACTTGATGGAGAGGGGATGTGGTAAGCTAGCAATGTGCTTCCACTGTTCCAGGATTTGCAAGGAAGGCTTTGCTCGTTTTGGTACTTCTTACTTGCAATCATGTAACCCAGCTCGCGCGATAGACCTCCGACGAAGATCCGTCCAAACACCCTGCCAGTGCACCCGGAAACGTAGAACTTGGGCCCAGTCAATGGTAATGTTCAAGGCTGGTTGGTGAGCCTGTGATGAGGATCAGCCTATATTGTCCGCGTAACAGTGGGGAGATCTCCAGATCCAAGTGAGGGGAATCACCCGCACGCCTGAGAGGGCCAGCATGGCCACAACTGAGCAGATATCCCTCTCTGGAGACCCAGTTCTGGAAGTTGACTCAAAAGCATTGAACGCTTCATAACACTTCTCAGGGTGGTCCTCCATGCGAGGACTGTCTCCTCAGCATTTCATGCAAAACACGGAACACCGCAGTCTAAGAAGCACCAGGAAGTAGATCAGTGATAATTGTTGGTTTTGAACCCATATTTGGAAGCTGGGCAATGCTATTATTCCCCAGATAGCGAAGCTATGGGGTTCTTACTTCAAATAACATGAGTTGCCCGTGCGCGCTTTCGAGACAGGTTGCTGGTGCTGGTGCCGGGTGCCGGTGCTGGTGCTGTCTGTGAGCTGGCTGTGCACGCTGGTGCTGTGAGCTGGCTGCGCGCGTGGTGGAGACAGGTTGCTGGTGCTGGGCGCTGGGTGCCGGTGCTGGTGCTGACTGTGCACGTGGTGGAGACAGGTTGCTGGTGCTGGTGCTGGGTGCTGGGTGCCGGTGCTGGTGCTGTGAGCTGGTGCCGGGTGCTGGTGCTGGTGCTGGGGCCGGTGCTGGTGCTGTTGTGCACGTGGTGGAAACAGGTTGCTGGTGCTGGGTGCCGGGTGCCGCTGGTGGTGCCGGGCGCTGGTGCTGTGAGCTGGCTGTGCACGTGGTGGAGACAGGTTGCTGGTGCTGGTGCTGGGTGCCGGGCGCCGGTGCGGGTGCTGTGAGCTGGCTGTGCGCGTGGTGGAGACAGGTGCTGGTGCTGGTGCTGCCGGTGCTGGCGCTGGTCCTGTGAGCTGGCTGCGCGTGAGGTGGAGACAGATTGCTGGTGCTGGTGCCGGGTGCCGGTGCTGGTGCTGTGAGCTGGCTGTGCACGTGGTAGTGGACTGGTGCTGGTGCCGGGCGCCGGTGCTGGTGGTGCTCGTTGTGTGCGTGGTGCAGATTGGGTGCTGGTGCCGGGTGCTGGCGCTGGCTGTGTGCGTAGTGGAGACACGCCACGCTGTATTGCATGTAAAAATTGGAGCTGCTGCCAATGCAGGGTGCAGCCCAGAAAAATCTTTTGCATGCATTTGCTATCTGGGGTCTATGCTGGAGTAACTTTTCTTAGCTACTTCAGTTCTTGCGACGCAAAACGACCAGCGAACCTCGGAGACCGAGGCGGCACCCGGCGCCGCGAACCGGCGGAGCGGCGGAAGCCGCGCTGCGCCGCGGTGCTGGCCCTGGGCGCCATGTGCTCGCAGGAGCCAACATGGCGTGAGGCAAGCAGAGTTAGGTTCCTACAGTTTTTGTAGCTCAAAAAGAGCAAACAGGACACTTGTTAGTAGCAATATTTTTGCTACTAGTAGCGATGCGGCGATGCCCTTCTTCCTAGTAGCGATGCACCTTGTTACTAATAGCTTCTAGCTACTAAGTACGGTTTTGTTTCCAACTTGCACATTTTGGTTGATTCTTGCTAGACGGCTTCGGATGGCAAGAGGCTTCCCGTGCATGAATTGGTCCGAGCAACTCGCTGGACCCAACTCAACGTCCTCACAGTCCAGCCAGCTGGGCATCAACAAAACCATCGTTCGAGCTTGTGCTTCTGGCGCCTCTTGTCCAACTTCAGAACACTTCATCAACCCACCCAACTTCTTTGACAGTGTCCTTTGCAAGGGAAGAAAAACACTGGCCATAGTCCAACCAGGAGCATGGAGCAGCAGTTCAAGAGCTGCTGGATGAGGGTGACTGGGAAGTGCGTTCCTGCACTCTGGAAGCCCTAGCAGGCGTGGTTGGCACCCGTCTGCTTGAGTGCTCCCAGCATAGTCACCAGGTATGACATTGTTAAACTGACAAAATTCGAAGGAAGGAATTGACCAAGTGTCATCCCATGTCGGCTGAGCTGGACCAACTTGGAGCAAGCTGGATGGCAAAGACACAATGCTGGGTGCTTTCCCTTCTGGGTGCAATGAGACATGTCCGAACCTTCCAACCAGTTCAGCACAGGCTACAGCTCCTCTGATGCGGACCTCATTGAGAGGACCGAGGGAACCACCGGAGATGGCTCAAACGGAAGTCTCCCATGCACATCATTCATGCGATGCGAGGGCAGTCCCCTTTTTTTTTGTAACATGAGCCTTAGATTATTTTTTGCGTTCACTGGTTGATACAGGGACATGTGAAGCATGTTGCGATCCCCCTTCTCTGACATGATTTGCAGTGGATCTTCCAGTTTCAAGGATACGAAAGGCGCAGGGACCTATATAGTTCAATATAATCCTATACATCTGTGGTGGGCACTTCATGATTTTGTTGGATCCACTTCTGTGCAGTGAAGGATTGTAGACTGCGGCTAGGATTGCGGCATTGTTGGATGACGACACCTATGCCGTGCGAGCAAAAGCCTGCTTCTTGTTGGGCAAAGTGCAAGCGACGAATCAAGCGGACTTGCCCTCAGCAGTGATGGCGTAGGACGACTGAGTGGACGGAGGCAGATTCTGCTTGGAAGAAGGACGCTTTGCTGGCTTGCCCCCTTTTTTTAAATCTTGGGTATATGCAGATGGTTTGGCTTGCAGGCATTTACGACTGAAGGCACACTTCACCAATTTTGGTGATTGGTGAAAGTGAAACGAACAACACAATTCAGACCTCCCACACTCTCTGCTGCCCCGGTTTCTGGACAACCAGTCTCGACTAGTTGTCGCCAGTGCCGCCTGGTGCGCCCAGGATCGCCTCTCCGAGATGCTGACGGATAAGTCCCAAGCAAGGGCCCAATGCGCTACAGCAGAACGGTGCAGATCATTTTAGCAGTTCAGTTTAAGTCCTTTGGTCTATGGTAGGTGGTCAATGAAACCAATTGAAGCAAACGTTTATGCAGCAGGACACTTTTCCAGTCTTGAACACGTTTGCTGAGAGCAAGTGTCCTATTGACTTCTGACCTCTTGTCTTCCAGATTGACCAGCCATGGATCAACTATATCAGATGAACACACGTTTGCTCGCTTCCTTTCGGTTGAATCAAACGTTTGTCCGTTCGCTCTGTGCAGCTTCCTAGTTCTGCACCCATGCCGAGGCCGTTCGACGGGAGGCGGTGACTGCGCTGGGAACATTCGGCTCCGCAGCTGCCACCTACGCCTACGAGGCGCGACGCTTCACCCGACGCAGGAGTGTTGGTGTTGTTGTTGTTGTTGTTTCGTTTTTTTAGACGATCCAGAAAAACGCGGTGCTTCTTTTTTTGAAAGCATTTTAAGTGATCCGTGATTTGGATAATGATTGTTATTTATGGGGCTGATTGGCAAAGAGCAACCATTTTACTGCAGGTGGCCTGCCTTCTGCTCAGCGATCCTTCTGGCAAAGTTCGATCTGCTGCAGCTTTACACTCAGTTTCTCAGTGCACATTGCCAGCGATCTTTTATACAGGAGTAGATGTTTGGAAGAAGACATTTAGCACTTTTACAAGAAATGCACCCGGTCATTGTCATCCTGCGCCCGATGAGCCAATGAGCAAACCTAGCTCATTGGAAACTGATTCACACCATACCAAAGCTTGCAAGGAGCTTCCTGAGATTTATGCTGACTGCTGATGCAAAACTACCTGCAAGACATCCCCAGCTCTGATCTCACTCTTTGTAGAACGCGGGTGGCTTGATGGATACGTCCTTCAGGCCAAGGCGCTTGGTGCTTTGGGCGAAAGTGGAAGGCGATGCTCTTCCTGGTTGCTGTGTCTCAGACTGTTGCAACCGTTCAGAAAGGTGGAAAGAAAGGTGCACGAGACACGAGACAAATGCAGAAAGGTTGGCATGCCTTGAGGGCTGTGACCCTTTTTGCACACTGGCCACAATGTTGGGCGAACTTGCATGATTCGGGTCGTTCTTATTTTCAACTACCGAGCTTGACTGGGTGTGACTGGATGGCATGACCAATACGCGCAAACGGCTTGACTGGGTGGCGTGGCATCCATGGGATATGTGTTCAAGCATTTTAGAATGGGACACTTAGACTGGAATGCCTCGCCCATAGAATTTCATAGACTGAATGTATTTCTTGCCTCACCAAGTTGGAAGAAGGGTTTGAGTCTGCCAGGCCGTATGCAAGCGCTGTGGCGATGCAGCTGAGTGACGTAGATGCGGAGACTCGCTCTGAGGCCCATTTTAACTGGCTGAAGCTTCTTAACCTGGAGAGGTGTTCAGAGTTCAAACAGCAGGCTGACGAATTTGTGCATCTTCAAGTTGGATTCTGCGAGTGGGAAATGATGCATTTGTTGCCAGAAGTGGCTCAGATCAGCAGGATCAAGCCATTCTTCTAGAGCAGACAGCAGCATGGATGGATCCAAACTGTTGAGGAGGAGCAATTGCAAAGAGCAGACAATGGCTGGGGAATATTTTGTTTGACATTTCCTCAGGCTTCAAGGTGCTTCAAATACCTGACTAAATCACAATTACCCTGTAGGTGACCCATGACCGCCGAAAGGGAACGATGTGTGAAGCTCCTTTTGCCGTTTTGTGACGCCCGGGAGCTGGTGTGCATCGAGGCGAGCTCCAAAGTACAGCATGAGTGGGTCGAGAAGGCAGACCTTTGGGAAGCCCTGTGCAAGGCCTACACAGCTGACCCTGGTGAGTGGAGAACTCAACGGGGAAGGAAAGTGGATTGGCCTTCTAAAGATGGTGACACAGGCAAAGATTGGTTTTCGAGGCTTTATTACGTGCACACGTTGATTACCAAGCATGATGCGGTCATGTGCGACAAGTGCGGCGAGTGGGGTGCTACGGACCTCGACTTCTTTGAATGTGAACAATGCCAAGGGACCTGGTGTGATGGCTGCGCTGAACGCGGGCCTGACAAAAGATTTGTGCCTTGCAACAGGTGCCCAGATTTCTCTCAAACCATTTGCTTTGAATGCTTCGCAGATGGTAAGACGGAGCGTTGCGAATGTTCAGGTACTGACAGCTGGCACAGCTGTTGTGGCCGCCATGCTTTCAGCTGCGAACGCTGCGATACTACGTTGTGCGATGGTTGTGCTGACCATCACGACTGCCCAGTACAGTCAGAACAGGAAGAAGACGAATAGAATGATGACGAGGATGACAAGAAAGATGAGCAGAAGAAAGGATGACCAAGAATGACTTCAGACCCCATCTGACACCTGATAGTCATGCCTTTGCACGAGGATGACAAAGCTGCGTCGAATACCAAAGCTGAGCATGACTGAACACGACTTTTGGGGCCTTTGGACATGGCCCATTTTCTTCGGTTCTGCGCTGGAATAACTGGTCAAAGCCTCCATTTCGATTCGCATGTGCAGTACGGCCAGGCCTGCCTGGCGCTAGGGCAAATGGGGCAGTACGGCTTGGCCTTTGCTGAGGCACAGCGACAGCCGTTGGGGGGGGACAGCGCACAGCTCGCAGGTCAGCACGACCTGCGCCGAGCTGTTGTCTTTTCGTTTTTTGTTTTTCTGTGAGCTGCCGAACGACGCCGAGCTGTGCTTTCAGGTTTTGAACGTAGGATCTTTTTTGAGTCAAGTGGACATACCTGTGCCGCTATGTGCCATTGCATACTTCAGCTCTGGCAGGAGTTGGAAAACGTCATGCAGGCCAAGCCGTCCTGGAGTCCTGCAGATGACTTTCACAAGCTCGCTTTTGCTCGTTTTGACTGGGTCTTTGTATGCTCTTGAAGCAATCAAGAAGGGTCTACCAGGTCTGCAACTGGCCACTTTCTTGGGAATTGTGGACAGGACCATCTCATTCATCCGCCTGAAGTGAAGGCTTCTGCGAAGCAGGCCATGGGGTTGTAGGTTGCTGGATTGGAGTGAGGAATCACCGATATATATATATATATATATGATGACTTTCTTCTTTTTTCTTTCCTTTTTTTTTTTTCTTTAATTCATCAGACTTGCACGTCCTGCCGTGCCCAAAACAGCGCATTCTTCTGTGTGTTCCTCCACAGGCATTGATCCTCCTAGGTCGCCTCCAAGAAGCTGTGGAGGTGGGACGGTGGCACCGCGGTGGGACGAGATGCGACAGACGCCCAAGTAGCGAGGATTGTTTATAGCAATGGCCTCCACCCCAGTAGCGATGGCCCCCAACCTAATAGCAATGGCCTCCACCCCAGTAGCGATGGCCCCCAACC